CATCGCGGTGTCACCGCCTTTGGCTGTGGGGGTGACACGTGCCAGCCTCGGGGATGTCCCCACACCAAGGTGACAGTGTCACCTCCCCTTGGGAAGGACAGGGGGACACAGGGGATGATGGCAGGGTGACAGTGGGGACAGAGGACATGCTGGGGGGACAGCGGTGGCACTGATAGAGTGACAACAGGGACGGGTGACAGCGCCTGGTGGCATTGGCACGGTGACAGCGGTGTCACAACAGGGCAGTTCCTGTCCCCTGGCCCTGACACGAGAGGACACCAAAGTCCACTTTGGCCACTCAGTGTCCCCAAGCACCCTGGGGTCACCCTGGGGACACCCTTGTCCTAGGGCCACACCCACCCCAGTAGGGTTTTCTCCTGGGTGCCACCCACCTGTCACTGCGTGTCCCTCAGTGCCACCGTGTGTCCCCAGCTGATCTTTTTTCCCCATTTTTTCCCCATTTTTTCCCCATTTTTTCCCCATTTTTTCCCCATTTTTCCCCATTTTTTCCCCATTTTTTCCCCATTTTCCCCATTTTTCTCCATTTTGTTCCCCATTTTTCCCCCATTTTGTTCCCCATTTTGTTCCCCATTTTGTTCCTCATTTTGTTCCTCATTTTGTTCCCCATTTTTTTCCCTTTTGTTCCTCATTTCCCCCCCATTTTTCCCTGGTTTTCCCCATTTTCCCCCTATTTTTTTCCCGTTTTTCCCCATTTTTCCCCGTTTTTCCCATTTTCTTTCCCAGGATTTTGGATGGGCAGAGTCCCCGCCGGCCATGGGGCAGAACGAGTCACAGCAGGAGGCGGAGGTGGGACACATCCCCTGTCACCCCCAATGTCCCCAAACCTGGGTGACACCGGGGYTCAGCTGTCCCTTGTCCCCACAGGGCACCTTCCTGAGGGGGCTGCTGGCGTTCTTCAGCAGGGAGCAGCTCCCGACGCGTGGGGTGAGCGGTGTCCCCAATGTCCCCATGTCCCCATTGTGTGTCCCCAGTGTCCCCATTGTGTGTCCCC